AATTAATATATATTTAATTAATTAATTTTGGCACACTTGACTCCTTCAGGTCTCACCATGAAATAATTTTATCTGTCAACCTCACCCATCAAACTCAGGGGGCGGGGTTAACACTGATCGAGTCAAAACCATTGCTTTGGCCTGGTGGCCATCGTTTTTAGAAGGCATTTCTGCACACAAACAACCGGCATGTGGAAACTAACTGAACTGTACTTTGAAAAAAAAAAAAAAGAAAAACCCTGTTTGTGTGTCACCAAATATAGTTTTAATATTTTTTAGCCGAGAATGTAGTGGTTTAATCTTCAGATATCTGGTCGGTTTGTAGAGCCTCTTTACAAAAGTGCGTCGATGATTTCCGAGATGTCTGCCCAGCTCAGTGTCACAGCAAAGCATGGGATAGACCCGCTTGCAGACACAGACCTTCAAAGTAAAACAGGAAATTCATAAACACAAACTCAGGGAGACAAACAAAGCACCAGGGTAACGACACAGGAAATAAACCTAGAACTGGAAACCCTGACAATGAAACCTACATACTAATAAAGATAACCATGAACAAATTAAACATCAGATCAGCTAATAATAATAAACACAATGCCAAACACAAAACACTGGGTCAATGACCCAGCACCATGACAAAACCATTTTGAGCTCCTCTTTGGTTTACACATGATCTGAACTGATCTGATGCCGTATGCAACCAAGCTAAGCCATCCCTGTGTTAGTAATGCCCAGTGTTTATCTGATAAACATAAAGGAATGTGCAGCAATGAACATTAGAAACTGGTCCAACCGGAGTGTCTGTTTTGCAGTAACTGGTTGATACTTGTCTCAGTTTTTGTTTCCTGCTCGGCTCCAGTGACTCATTTCACTTTAACAGCGACACTTTGGATTAGTTTGGATCACTGTGTCTGAGTCTAGGGTCTTTATCTGTGGTAAGTCTTTATGTTTATTTGTTTGTTTGGTTTCTTTTTTGTTTGTTTTGTTTTTCTTTTGATTTTGAGTCAGAGAACAAGTAGGAATCTGGTCTGCCACAGATCTGGTTTGCCACCTCTGGCAAGCACATTGTGTGGGCCAGATCTGCGCCATATCAATTTTGCTATGTGGGAGACTGCTTCTGATTCGTGCAACATAAAAACAACAAATTAGTTGAAAAAGTTTTTATATGAAAATGTCTTCAGCTGCTTTTTAAAAGAATCAATGGAGTCTGTACAGCAGAAATTGGGGGTGATTAGATTCTTGGACATGTCAAAGAACAGAAACAAAATTGATTTGATTGGATTATTATTTTTTTGAATAGTTTCTCTCAACACAAAAATGCCCCGTTCATTTCATGTCAGCATTTTTTAAAGAAAAGTAGTGATATTTTACATTTTTACCGTTTTCCATTTTAGGCTAATGCATGAAATTCTTGCATTTTTGCCACTTGTATTCTGGAGCCGTGTGATCACCAGGGCGTCACAAGAGTGATTTATATGGATGTGTGTGTGAAACTATTTTTAGATCAACATGTGATTCATCAATGAGCACATTTATTATGCAAAATGCACCAACACGGAAAACTTCATCAACAAAAGATAAACACAACAGAACACATGAAATATGTATACATTTGAATCTGAAACATCAAGGCTTTGAATATGTGATGTATGTCCGTGTTTGGGAGAAAGAGATAAATGGATCTCTTTGTGTGTGTGTGTGTGTGTGCGTGTGTGTGTTGTCTCGATTCTTTGTTGATGTGCTGAGAACAAACAACCAATACTCAGAACAGGTCCTGTTAACAACAATAATTTATTTTAGTATGTGTGACATCCACACGACACCGCCCAAAGCGTGCTTCGGTGGATCTCAAAGAGGAAGCACTTTGATACACAGTTGTATATGTCAGGGTTCATGCCTCTTTATGTGTAAGCAGAGTATATTTATCATCCATCAGTTACAGTTAGAGACAGCTAGATATGAGTCCTTTTTTGGTGATCTTCTACAATTACTTAAAAATCTATCTTAACTGCCTCTCTCCTTGCTGTTTCCTGTTCTTAATATGAGGCCTATAATAGTCTATGACACATCCTGAGTACATCCTGTTCTGCACAATTTTCCGTCTTGCTAAACAATCTAATGACCTATGACACAGTTTATAACTCAAAGGTGGCCTTTAATATACTGACCTGTTATTAAATGCATAAAACAAAATACACGGCAAATAAGCGCTAGAAAATATATTTTCCCAATAGTGTGTGTGTTGGTGGGGGTTGGGAGAATTGGGTGTGTATGAGAGAGCATGTATGTAAATCTGTAAATATGCACTGATCATTTAATGGGGTGAAAAAGATCATCTTAGCGGATGTGTTTGATGTATGTTTGAAGAGGTGCTTAAGCCAAAACATGGCCTCTTATTCAAAAAGAAAAACTGATGTTAGTGTGTATATGTACCTGGCTTGTCCTCTAAATGAAGCAAATTCAAGCACATTAAAAGGTAACCAGACAGCACGTGTAGAAAGCGATATTCCAGTGTTTCTCTTTAAAAACCACACACCAATATTTAAAATTGCCAGTTATGCCGTGAGAGAGCTGAAGCTCTTTCACTCAGAAGAGAGAAACATTTTAAAGACCCAATGCAAATATACCATGTAACAATTTTTTACACCCTTATCATTTCATTTGATGAAATGGGTCATCCAATTACTGAAGCGCTGCTCTTAAATACACACACCAAGAAAACTGTATGCACTATACACAGTGAGTTATATTTGACACCTTTCACGGACATAATGTCCTTGTTCACAACTCCTAAACAAGGAATTCACAGCATGTAGGATGTTGAAGCACATTCATCATGTTAAAACACAGCTTTGACTTAAATGAACAAATGAATCAAATTGAAAGTTTAACGAAATTCCAACCCGTCCTCACTTTATGAAAAGAACTGACCTTTGATATCAGGAACTATAAAGTCAACACGCGTTATTGTTTAACAGAGGGTTGGGTTGAGAGTGCACATAGTTTTATTACAACTTACTTTCTTTGAGCTTTGGTGACTGTTTTGAGCAGTTCGACAGGTATGTAGACTTTTACCATAGAAAGCTAAACTGTAATCTTTTCCTTCTGTATTTATTTA